ATTGTAATAACTGCTTGGTTTCAGGTGGGCACTAGACTTATATGGAAGATGACTTTGTAAGTTATATAAATGCCTAACCACTACGCGGCACACATGAAACTCATATAATATTGAATATCAACTGTAACTTAAAAATAAAAAAATTTAAGCAAGAACTTAAGTTTAGGTTTCTCCAGTGGTTATCGTTCTTCAGATGTTTTCACAATTTGACACTTTGAGACGTTTTTATCTGTTCAACGATTCCACTGGAAATGTCTGTGACCATTGCAGCTTGGGTAATAAATACTTATTTGCCTTCTTAGTAGGGTTGGCATCAGTCACATCTTGACTGCTGGAACTGACCCGTTGCGGTCTGTCCTTCAGAATGAGCAGGTGCATTTAACATGGACTTGCAGACTTATTTTTTGTGAGCTGGAATCGGGTCATCTGAGATATCTCTGTGCCTGGAGAGGGAGCTTGCTGCCACGAAGCTGCTCTTCCATGTTGAGTTACAGGACCGCAGGCAGGTCACTGATGCTGACTGGCTCCAGAAAGGGCTGTCACTGCAGGTGCTACTCCATTCTTTGGCTCTCATGACTGTAGCATCCATTCAGCATCTCCAAACTCACCAGAAAACACATCTTAGCAAAAGAAGACTCTGGAATCTTTTCAGTATCTGTGGGGGGTTTTTTTGGCAAATGATTTCTGATATTTCTCTCCCTTGTCAAAGTCTGGGAATGATCTCTAAATGAAAAACTGCTGCTTTCCCTTCTTTCCCTGCTAATACCCTTCAAGTGATGAACATCTATTAAGAATTAAGCGACTACTTATTCATTATACAAATAGTTAAATGTCGATGGAGAGCCACGTAGGCTGTTGCACACGCTCCTCTGCTCACAAACATAGGAGATAGTGCAGCTGACGAGAGATTTTTAGAATATTTATACACATAACACAGATATAGTCACATGTGCATGCATAAATGCAGTTAAAATGATAAGATCACAAATGAGGGCCTGGTTTTAACATTTTTTAAAAAGTTGAAAAACCACCAAAGAATACGTGTCAGAGACCATAGGGCACACAAGACCGAAAATATTCACCATCTGGCCCGTCGTAGAAAACGTCTGCTGACCCCTGAACAGTGTGGAAAGTCCCACTAGTAGATCTCAGTTTTTACTTTCACCAAGAATAGCACATTGTCTTCTGCCTTTGGAGGTATTCATTTCTACTTGTAAGATCAATCTTTCCAGTCATTCTAAAAAGAAACAAGAGAACAAAACAAATAAATAAACAAGCAAACAAACAAAACCCTGGAGAAGCTGCGAAGAGCTGAATCTGCAACAGCATCCTCTGTTCTCAGCCAGGTCTGTTGTAGCTGCTCTGGAATCCTTGGCCCCGATGGTGCTGTGGCTCTCCCTCTCCCAGGCCACTTCCCAGCATCATGGCCAGCCACCAATTTGCTGCACCCCTTCTTTGGCCTTGGCTTTCGGGCCAAATGATGATTCTACTCTAGTTGCCCTTGTGAACCTGCTTTGCTACATTGCCCCGATTCTCACCTGCCTTCTCCTTTTAGGCCCCTCTCCTGTGTTCGCTCCTCTGCCTCCTCTCCCAGAATCTCAGCTCTGTTGAGGCAGGTCCTTAGAAATCTAATATTCCCATCCTTACCATTTGCTCGCTGCTGTCCGGACCCAGTTTTCTTGTTGGTTTCAAGTGGGTCCACTTCTGTCCCCTGCAACAGACTGCGGCAAAGAAGGAGTTCCAGTGGCTTCCCTCACCAGACCAGTTGAAGTGTTTTCATAAGCAGTATTGGCACTTGAGTCACTGCTTGCATACACCCTTTGTTTTAAAATTTTCAAATTACAGTTTACATTATTATTTTGTATCAGTTTCAGGTGTACAACATGGTGGTTAGACAATCATATACTTTACAAAGTGCTCCCCCGATACTTCCAGTTCCCGTCTGACACCATACATGATTATTATGATATTATCCAGTGTATTTCGTATGCTGTACTTTACATCCCCATGACTATTTTGTGACTGTCAATCTGTATTTCTCAATCCCTTCACCTTTTTCACCCAGTCCTGAACCCCCCTCCCCGCTGGCAACCATCGGTCTGTTCTCTGTGTCTATGAGTCTGGTTCAGTTTCGTTTGTTCATTTATACTGTTCTTTAGATTCCATGTGCAAGTGAAATTATGTGGTATTTGTCTTTCTATCTGACTTACTTCACTTAGCATAATACCCTCTAGGTACATCCATGCTGTTGCTATTAGTAAGATTTCATTCTTTTTTATGACCCAGTCATTTCAGTTGTATATATCAACCACAGCTTTTTTATCCACTATTGATGGACACTTGGGTTGCTTCCATTAGCTTGGCTATTGTAAACAACGCTGCAATAAACATAGGGGTGCATACATTTGTTCAAATTAGTGTTTTGGGTTTCTTCAGATATATACCCAGAAGTGGAATTGCTGGGCCATAAAACACACATCCTTTATTGTGCTTACTTAGTGTCCATGTCACTTGGTGCAGTGTCCTTTCCATGAACCTTCTGGCCTCTTGCCTTCATCTGTGGCTGCAGCAGTTTTCCATACCCACCACTCTGACCAGGCCACGCCGAAGGTCCCTGATGCTCTTCCGGTCCAGCGCACATATTTAACCAGAGTTAAATGTGACTTCTGGTACCTTCCCTTTTTTCATTCCCTTCCAGCTTGCTGAGTCCCTCCTCTTACCTGTGAGTGTCCCCTCCACTCACCACACACCCAACCCAATGGTAAATCCATTCCAAAGGACTTAATGAGAATATTACTAAATCTAACAAACCACTTAACAGGTATTTAATTCTGCTTTTAACCTTCCAGTAAATATATGGTTTGAGGACCAGACTTCCAGTAAATTTTTCTGAGTGATTACTCCTTTTCTGACTCATATCTCACTTGCTGACACATTATCTTGCTTTCAGCCATTAAACTCCTGTAAATAAATGCAGTCTTTTTACTATAATTCAGAAGACAACATCCTTCTTTGTAAACGCTCCTGCATTGGAACCGTAGCTTATAAAACTAACTGGTGTGGGGGGTGCGGTCCGCTGGTCCAGGCTGACCCATAGCTCTAATTTTTGGAACTGGTTTTGAGAGGTTGTCTCTCAATCGCGATAGATGCCCTTCAAACAACTTTGTATCTGGGCATCTTTTGCCTTTCATTTCCCTCTCCCTTCTCATTCCTCCGAACACCTTTTTCCCAAGCCCGTTTTCAAAACGATCACTATGTCATGTATCAATTAGGAAAACCCATCCAGGATACGCTTGCTCGGAGGGAGGCACCCCCGGAAACGCTGACCTACTAGAAGGAACTGCAGGGAGGTGGAGGCTTCGCCAGCCTGGCCCACCGCGACTCTGCTGCGCGCACCACTTGTTTACTCCTTCAGGACGTTCTTCGTGACACTCTTCCCTGTGCCGCAAACACCGTGCTTGGTTCTAGGGAAACAATATTGAGCCAAAAGGAAACCGTTGCTGCTTTCACTGGGGGTAGGTAGCATGGAACACACGTTTACATTAATAAATGTGTAATAAATTGACACCCTAGCTCTGACATAGAAAAGAAGAGCTAATATTACTGGCGAACTCCCCGACAGCTCTGTGATCTCCGATCCCCGTCTGGCCATATTTCTCTGCCCCTCTCCGCCCTCCCGCTCCCCCTGTTTGTTAAGCGGGGGTGGGGAACGTGGCTAACAGTACCGGGAGTCCTGTCATTGCTATAGTGTTCTGTACCCACATTCTTTCTTTCAAGTGTGGAATTCTTGATCCCGCAAAGTAGATGTCATTATCTCCATTTTAACTGCCAATAACGGAATAAGACAGCACTAGTATTACTCACGCTGTCATCGGAAGGGTGAGTAAACGAAAGCTCGCACTGTGGGAGTTTGGGGTCAGAAGTATGCCCCAGTCCCTAATTTGAATCCATCAGATTTAGTGGTTGCTAACCTACCTAAATCAGCGACTCGGGATTTACTTTTTTTTTTTTTAAAGCATCAAGAGAAAAATCTCTTTTCAAAACTCAAGACTGGATCTCAAAATTGGAAATGTGTCCTCCCCCACCCATGCCCACGTGGCTAAAAAGTGATGCATTTCCTAGGAGAGGTACTACACACTCCGTTTCTAATCTCCTTATTTCCTCCCCGCCAGAATTTCTAAATCCTTCTCGAGTACGCCCACACACACTTTTTGAACTTTTGAGTAAACGTCTTCGGCTCCTGTTTTCCGTAAAGCCCCCAGGCACTGGCCCAGGAACAGAGGCCTGCGCCGAGCGCCCCCGCGTCGGGGATCCCTGCGAGGGGGTCTGGTTGGCTGCGAGGCGGCTCAACGTCTGCGCCCGCCAGCCTGCGACGCGAGAACATGCTTCCCAGCCCTGGTTTTCCACCCGCTGCCCGCGAGCTAAATGAGGAGCCGCGCTATTTTTACCTCCCCCGCAGCAATACTTTATATATTTATCTGCAGGAAGGAAATAAAGTATTAAGAAGAAAACGCCTGGCCTCAATTTTTTTCCCGGAGGAGAGGGTTGGAATAAAAAGGCTATGTGAGGTATGGGGTAGTGGAGAGGGCAGGTCGATTTCTCTGCGTGCACAGCATCCTTGGCCTGGAAGCTCCAGGACGCCTACTCTTCAGCCTAATCCCCCTGACAGCTTCCCCTCCCCCCAACTCTGGAGGTGCCACCATCACCTATGAAGCTGCCTGGGTTGCTGCATCACTCTGAGGCTTTTTTCCCCCTCGCCCCCGCCCCGCCCCCAACCCCAATAAAGCATGCGCAGTGCGTCCCACGCCAGGGAACAGCATCAGCATCCCCATCAGCTTCAGCATCAGCCTCAGGACCCGAAGCCGCGCTCGGGCGCGCTCTCGAGGGCAGGGAGCACACCCGCGCTGCGCGCCCCCGCGCCGCTCGCTCCCTGCGCCGGCTCAGCATCCTCAGTCCCAGCAGCAGCCCCCGCAGTCGCTGAAGCGGCCGCGCCCGCCGCAGGGAGGGAGGAGCATCTGGGGAGGTTCCAAGTTGGCGGAGCGACTGGGACCCCCCGACTCTCAGCATCCGCCCCCGGAGGGCCTGAGACGCAAGCAGGGGAGGGGGCACCGCCCTGTCTCTAGTTCCGAGTCCTGACCCCCTGCCCGCGGCAGCACCATGCGCGCCGAGCCGGCGTGACCGGCTCCGCCCGCAGCCTCCCCGCAGCCTAGTCCGGCGCTCTCCCGGGCCACACCGAGCTGCGCTCGGGAGCTATGAGCCATGAAGCCGCCAGGCAGCAGCTCCCGGCTGACGCCCGTGGCGGGTTGCAGCCATCCGCGAGCCTCCAGCGACCCCCGCGGCGGCCCCGCCGGCCCGGCGCCTGCCCGCGCCCTGGCCCGCGCGCCTCCCGGCCGCCTGCTCCTCGTCCTTCTCCTGCTGCCTCCTCTCTCCGCTTCGTCCTGGCCCGGCGCCTGGGGGGCTGCTGCACCCAGCGGTGGGTATGGCCCCGGTGCCCTTTGCATTGCCTTGCCTGCTGGGCCCTGCAAAGGAAAACGAAGGGCACGCGGGTCCGTGCGCTCCGGACACGTCCCGGGCTCGGCCTTTCTGCGCCTCCCTGCCTGCCTCTCCACCTTTCTCATTCCCAAGCCCCCATTTATTCCAGTTCACTTTTTTGAAGTCCATTTCTGTTGCATTCACTAAAAAACCATTCTAATTACTGTCGGTTCCACTGGAAGGTATTTAGTGGATGCGGGTCCCTCTGTGCAACTTGGCTGAGGGGACCCCAGTGGAAGGGAAATGCAGTGAGGGAACAAGTTGCTTCTTGGGTGGTGGAGCCTGAATGTGAATGCGGAAGGATGTAGCGATAATAGTGGTAATGTGTTGTTTCCTCAAATTACCTTCTGGGTTTATTTCCTGCTGTTGGAATTAAAGTGGGGAAGAGGAACTTCCGGGATATAAACCTTTGGTCTGTTATTTCTCAAAATGCCTGTCATTATAATGAACAATTCAGATAATACATTGTTCAATACCATTGGAAATCAATGAACACAGAAAGCTGGCCTGGGCAGGAACGTAGAAAGGAATTGGAAAGCTGCCAGCATCTGCCTGCCTCTATGGCAAAGGAGTTTTGCTCATCTCAAAGTTAGACGAAAAGGGAATTGTCCATTTTGTTAAAAGAATCAGTTAATCTGAACTCAGCACTGAAGTCATCTTAGGAGCATTCTGAGCTCTCCAATGGGGACTCCTAGTCAATATGCCTTTGAGCCTGTGTGGACTCAGATGAGGGTCACAACCCCTGAGTTATGTTCATTTAATGACTCTTCCCTCAAGTCCATTCTGCCCCAACCCATAGGTAGAAGTATAGATTTGAGACTGGTTAGAAATGTACATACAAAACATAAGTCAAAATCCACAGTCCATAATTGTATAAGCCTTACTGGGTGTTAACTTATCCAGGCCATTTCATTGTTGCAGTAACTTGCTTTCCTGTGCGTGCACTTCTTACCTGCTTACAAATAAGAAAGTTGTTTTTGCCATTCATGGAACAGATGCATTTTGGTACTTATAGGGTATATATGTGTGCATTTGTGTATGTTTCTGCCCCCTGCCCCTTTCTCTCCAACCAGCTCCACACTGGAATGAAACTGCAGAAAAAAAATTGGGAGTCCTGGCAGAAGACGACAACACATTGCGACAGAATAGCAGCAGTAATACCAGCTACAGCAATGCGATGCAGAAAGAAATCACGCTGCCTTCAAGACTCGTATATTACATCAACCAAGACTCTGAAAGCTCTTACCATATTCTTGACACAAAGGCAAGGCACCAGCAAAAACATAACAAGGTAGGCAGGGGGCGGGGTATGCAAAAGTAGGTGCCACACAGAGTTACTTTGGATTTGATTTTCTGCCAGAATCTGATTTCACAAATTTTACTGCAACATTTTATTAGGAAATCAATATCATGATACGGGAGAAACTGGAGGGAATCAACCTGGGGATAGGATTGCTCTTTCTCTTCTCTGACTTTAAACTGGAGTCGGAATTTTTTTACTGGCCTTATAAGTTTGACAGCTGAAATCTGGTCCCTGTATCTTCCAGGTCATTGGACACTGAACAGCAGTTAAGGGACTATGTCTACAGTCCTGACTGATACCTGTGAGGCTTTATGTAAGGGTGCAGTATTCCCCCTGCCATGATGAAAACTACTTTCAATCTGGACACAGAAGATTGTTAAATGAGGCCGTTCAGCTGCAGATTCCCCCATCAGTCTTTCACTTAGAAATGGAATGTTTAAATTTAAACAACTTCTTTCTTTCTTTAATTGCTCAATGGGGGAAAAATACTTTCTGTTATATTTTCAGTAGGTAAACAATTTGACATTTTGAAAGATTATGGTGAATATTCACAAACCAGTTATATAATAGAGAGACCAGTTTTGGTCAGCATCAGACTTCAGACTGTCTGCAGTCATTGTAAGTGGCCGCTTTACTTTTCAGGCTGGTTTCGGGAAGTAGCGCTGGTTTTAAAAAGGCCTTCAGCGGTGGGTGAAGGTGCTGAGTATCCAAAAAGTTTACGGGCTCTTTTTGTCTTGCTTACTATTCTTTATTTGAGTTAATAATACTTTCGACCCAAGCAGATTAACACAGGAGCAGAAAAATTGAGTCTGTATGTCAAATATTTTACTTGGGACCATCCTCGTTTAACTGAGAAGAACAGTAACTGTCTAAACATGTAGAACTTTAGAAAAGTAACTGTGGTTTACATTACTGTTTTCTTAGTTTTCTAAAATGAAGGTAAGTGGTAGCTATCTCCCTTTTACAAATGGGGAGTTAGAAACTTCAGGCTTTTAGGAAGCTTTAAAACAGCTAATTGTGAAACATCTATTATAAAATTCAAAAGACCTGAATATTAATTTGTACACCAGGCAGGTTTCTGAGAAAATGCTCCTTTTGTACTGATTATTGTTATTGGGGAAGTTGACTTGGTTTCATAGTGTTATGCAGTAGTGGCTGCCCACCTTGTCTGAGACGAATGGGTCTCTGTCTCGCAGCCCTTTTCCCATCTGCTCCCACGTAAACTTACCGGGTTGACTCCTGGATCATGTCTACTCATTTGTCTTGCTGATAGGAGTTGGTGGTGGTTGTAAGGAAGAAGAGTCCAAGGCCCTCTTCATGAATGCTTTGAGGCCCATTTTATGACTTTCTTAATTAATGAGACTGTCTGTGGTAAAGTGACAAGTTCTCAAACTTCAGTGCCTTTGCATAAGGTGTTAGAGGAAGAAATAAAAACCGCCTCAAAGTCTATGTTAAAGAATGTTCATGCACTCCTGAGCTGAGAGTTGAAAGAAATTTCAGTGGAACTTCTTTGTAACTCAGTTATTGGAGGCTGTGACTAACTCCTGTTGTATGCTTTAACCATGTATGGTTGCTTTGTTGGTGGGACATGGTTGGACTACAATATCACTGAGTTTCTATGATAATAGTTTTGTTAAAACTTCATTCCCCACTCGTGTAGAGGAATCGAGTGCTCTTTGTGGAACTCATACCTGCTGTTGGAATGATTCTGCCTCTCCACTTCTCACCCCCCAGGGTGGTGGGGCTTCTTTTATCTTCAAAAAATATTTACAAAGTAATTATATTTGAAAGCACTTTTCTTATTAAATTCAACAAACGTTTGTTGCCCATTTCTATGTGCAAAGTAGTATGCTCCAGATTCAGATAAGAGATAAAGGTTACCCGGAGGAACAAGAAGTGTCTGTTTTCCAGGAGACACAAACATGAGATAAGCAAGATTCTAAAAAGTGCTACCATGCGGGTATAAACAGTGTTCTTCTTAAATGGTGTGTCCCTGGAAATTTCCCTTCCTGTTCTGGGATTTCACTTTTACTTCTGTTTTTAAGCATCTCTTGAACTAGTTGACAAAAAGAGTTCCTTCCCAGTGCTTTCTGCTTTCATGTTTGATGACTTGCCTAACAGTAGTGATGAGAGATGCTTGTGAGTTTAGTTGCTTTATAAATACTTCAGTAAGAGAGGCCGTGTAGAATGTCATGATTTTTGCCTCTATAACTTTTGATTCTAATATTTGTAGTATGTACCTTTCTTCCTCTCTGATTTCATTGCACTCAAGCACATTTTCATGAACGCCTGAGAAATGCTGAATCACTGTGCTATTCTCCTGGATTCTCCAAGTTGGGGGGTAGATGTGAAGAGGGAAAGTCCCAGGTATAGGTTGCAAGGCAGATTTTTGTGTTGATTTCATAAAGTATTCAGTGTTGAACAAGACTTACTACTTTACAGATATGAAAGTTAAAATGTTTAACTCTTTCAAATTTGGTGCATTCAAGAGCAGGTGGTACAAAGTACTTCTGTAATACCAGTGCTTTTTGAAAACCTTAAAGTTTTTCTTGTGGAATTGTTAACTGTGAATGTTAGAATTAGACCTTGGTTCTTGAGTTGGCTAAGAAAGAATTCAGTACCAAGAAGTTAAATGCAAGAGAAAGTTTATTGAGACAGTCACAGAGGTTGAAGCAGTGAGCCAGCTGGGCTGTGTGGACTCAGGGAACAAGTTATAGAGGCAAAAGAGGGCCCTTGGAACTTAGGAGAAAGAAATCAAAGGTATGCACCTGAGGAAGAAGGCATGAGTGTGCTTCAGAGAGAGGGTGGGGGGAGAGAAAGAGAGAGAGCCATCACATGTGGTCTAGGCCCTTTGTCTTAAGGTTTTTTATCTGTTTTCCAAAGGTGGGGTCCTTAGGGGAGGATTCATTAGAATATTCATCAGCTTCCCAGCTTTGTTTTTTCCAGGGTTGTGGTCTCTACTGATTGGTCAGTGCCCAGATGGGGTCATTAGTTATTACAGCTAGTCCTGGTGTCAGCCTTGGTTTCGGTTCATCTGGTTTTGCTGCTCTTCTGGGCCTGGAGCTGAAACTCAGCTGAAGCCTAGATGGTATTTCTCTTTTGACCAAAAACCTGTCTCTGTGGTCTGCAGACCCGAGGTTTTGTTCCTAAGATTATTTGATGCTGGATAGTAGTACCTCAGTGTCCTGAGGGCTTAGGCTTAAGGGAGTGGTCATGCAAGGGCTTGCAGAGTAATTGTATGAGGTTATTCCCTGGTCCCTTAGTCATTTGTTCCTCCCCTAAGAGCATCTAAATTGCATGACTGTTGACGTGCTAGGGGAGGAGTGGTCAACTGTGGGGCCAAGGTTCTAGCCTATAATAGTAGTTTTCTCTAGTTTTCCCCATTGCTAGGCACCTAGGACTTCCTGATCCGGTGACAGTCTGTACCTGGCCTATTGTTCCTGCTCTGCTCATGCCTGTCAGAATCTTTTTATCTCCATATAGGGGTGATGGACAACGTATTGCCCAAACTCTGCCATCGCTTAAGAGTGAGAGAGGGCACACATAATAATTTTGTGCTGAGGCAATACTCAAACCAAGACGGTTTAGAGCAGATGAGGAATATGGTCTCCTCAGTCTGAACAGTTACTAGCTTATTCAAATTCAGATTTCTTAATAGTTCCTTTTCTTTTTTTTAAATTACTCTTTTGTTGTTCAATTATTGTAGTCTGCATTTTCTCTCCACCACTCCCTCGCACCCCAGCCAAACTCACCTTCGTTCCTTGCTTCCATCCTACCCCTTGGTTTTGTCCATGTGTCCTTTATAGTAGTTCCTGAAAACCCTTCTCCCCACTGTCCTGTCCCCCCACCCCTCTGGCTATTGTTAGATTGTCCTTAATTTCATTGTCTCTGGTTATATTTTGTTTACTTTTTCTTTTGTTGATTATGTTCCAGTTAAAGGTGAGATCATATGATATTTGTCCCTCACTGTCTGGCTTGTTTCACTTAGCATAATGCTCTCCAGTTCCATCCATGCTGTCACATAGGGTAGAAGCTCCTTCTTTCTCTCTGCTGCGTAGAATTCCATTGTGTAAATGTACCATAGATTTTTGATCCACTCATTTGCTGATGGACACTTAGGTTGCTTCTAGCACTTGGCTATTGTAAATTGTGCTACTATGAACACTGGGGTGCATAGGTTCTTTTGGATTAATGTTTCAGGTTACTTTATTTTCTGATGATTTATTATAAATTTTTCTTACTAGCTAGAATGTCAGTTTACCATCATGTAGAAATATTAGGGTCTGAAATGGAAAAATTTAGTTTTGCTTAGATACCAAGACATATCTTATTCCTTTGTAGATATTTTTAAAATCATAAATGGAATTTTATGACCACTAAAAATAAGCATTTTATTAACCACTAATGCAATATATGAATAACATGGACCATACATTTAAAAAGAGGGAGAAACAATTTAGATTCATTCATTCTTCCAATCAATCTGAGATAATTCTTTGAGGTCTGTTCCTAAGAAAGTTAATGAACCTGTGGGCGAGAAAAAAATAACTTTTTCTCTCTCCTACTAGGTGTTTGGCTGAGATGCACCCTGTGTTAAAAAACAGGTAAATAGGAGCAACACAAACAAATTTAATAACATGTAGACCTTCTGTGTACATAAGAGAGGCCCAAGAAAACCGAGTAACTCTTCAAAATGGTCCATGCCATTACCTTCAATAACATCTTCAGCTAAAGACATAAGATGCTGGCCGCAGTCAAGCGCCAGTCAAGCGCCAGTTCTGGGAGGGTGTGGGGAAAGCGTGGTAAACAAGATTGAGGCTGTTATGCAGATTTACGTCTCCGCCTTCTCCTTTGTTAAAAGTTTCTAGAAATTTTAGTCATTTTCCCCTTTCGAGATACCCTTACCAGTGGAGATTTCTTATAAATGTAAATGCCGCTTACAAAAGGCTAACTTCTACTTGGTTTTTCAGAGCATCTCTTGTGTTTGC